AGTGGTAGAGTGCTCGCCTTGAGCTGAAGAGCTGAGGGACAGCGCCCAGGCCCAGAGTTCAAGCCCCACGACCGACAAAAAAAAAAAAAAAGAAGTTCAAGTTCAAAAGGAGTTCAAGAATAGAATTGTGACTGGTAAAGCACCAGCCATGTGTGAAAAAGCCAAGCAAGAGCACAAGACTCTGAGTTCAAGCTCAAATACTGGCTCAAAAATACACACAAATTAAATAAAATGAAGTACTAATAAAATAAAACAAAAAAGAAGTCAATCTACTTGAATGTACTATAAAAATTCAAATGTAAAAAACACCAAAGAATTTGGAAAATTATAAATATCTGAGTATATTTCACATATATACCTTAACATGAATTTTAATGGTTATGTTCTAATCTTGCCATCTACTGTTTCAAATAAGAATCAATACAATTCAAACTAAATGAAGCATAACATGACCACTAATAAGAAGGTGCTTTAACATGGAATGACCCTTAATTCCAATTCTATTATCACAGACAACTGACAAAGGAGTAGTTTTAACCACATAAGAAATCAGCATATTTCCTTTCAAATGACAAGCACTGAATCATAGCCGGGTGCCGGTGGCTCACGCCTGTAATCTTAGCTACTCAGGAGGATGAGATCTGAGGATCACGATTCAAAGCCAGCCCAGGCAGGAAAGTCTGTGAGACTCTTATCTCCAATAAAAACCACCAGAAAACTGGAAGTGGCATTGTAGCTTTGAGCTGAAGAGCTGAGGAACAGCACCCAGGCCCAAAGATCAAGCCCCACCACCGACCAAAACAACAACAACAACAACAACAACAAATATTGAATCATCTATCAACAGAGTAAATGATACTTTATTTATATTCAGATTTTAGTTCCTGCATCTTCCTAGCCTATTTACTGGTACTGTTTAGTTTCAAGTAAATTCTCACAGATTATAGAATATATTAGTCCTCTCAGTCTATAATTAGAATAGATTTTGACAGAGTCTTGCAACCCTAAACACAATAACTGTGATGGGCCCTAGAAATGTGCTCTTCCTTTCACAAATCAGTAACTGCTGACCTAATTTTGTACACCATACATTGGTGACTGCCTCAGTAAAGGTAACTTCAGTAAAGGTAAAAGCAGTACCACTATCCTGTCCTCAAATGACAACAGTTTCCCTAAACTATTATCTCACTGACAAAATATTAAGGTCCATCATGCTTTGTACTCAACCTTAATTTTGAGAGAAGTCATAGTTTCTTTGTAAGAATTTTTTTGGGAGAGAGAGTGAACTAGTACAGAAACTTAAATTCAGGGTTTCAAGTTCTTGCTTGCTTTTTTTTTTTTGCTCACAGCTGACACTCCTACCATTTGAGCCACAACCTCCAGTTCTTTTGCTGATTAACTGGAGCAAGAGTCTCGAGGATTTTTTTCTCCCTGAACTGGCTTCAAATCTCTATCCTCAGATCTTGGCCTTCTTAGTCGCTAGGATTATAGGCATGAGCAACTGGTACCTAGCATTTCTTGATTATGCCTATTATTACTAATTATATTACCCTATATCTAACTTCAAACATTCCTTTCTGCTTTTAGAACTACTTCAAATTTTATTTGCAGAAATAAAGTCATGCTTTAATTCCTTTTTAGGCTCTGGGAATTTTACCTTGGAATATTAAATTCTTGGTGAGGCTTTTTGCCATTACTCCGTTCCCACCTTGAAGATTGTTCAGTAGGTAGCAATCCTGAAGTTCCAGAGCTTCTTCTCATCTGTGGAGTCGGTAAACTATTTCTACTACTTATTCCCTGTAAAATAATTTAACAATGGTTACAATTGTTACCCTTTAATATGACACATACATAATTATTATAATAGAATATGAAAATATAAACAAAAAGTATATTTTTAACATATACAGGTGAAAAAAATTCATTCTGAAAATCTGCTAATTTGCTCCAAGTCTCATACTCCACACTGTTGTTCTAGTTATTTCTCTCCTATAAAAAATTATTTCTGCTGGAGGTGTGGTTCAGTGGCAGAGTGTAAAGATAGCAGTGCAAGGTTCTGAGCTCAGACCTCAGTATTACCAAAAACAATTTATGAACTCTATAATTTCAGCTACATTTTTTCATTTGTAAATTTTATTTCTAGTTTCAAGATAAGTAAATAGAAATTTTTAAAGTGTATCTAACAATCTATTTCAAAGGACAAGTTTGGAATTAGGAATCATCAGCTCTGTAGCTTAATGATTTTTTATATTTTTAGTACAAGGAAATCTAACATAGCAACTGCCAGGATTATGTTACCTTCCAAATTAATGATTAAATTAAATACAAAACAAATTAAGTATTGCTATAACCAAACTTTTGAAGATATTCTCTATTATTCCAAATGTTAAATTAGGAGGAATATTACATTTTTTACTATTGTGAAAAGTTCTTGAAATGAGGTTTACATAGTTTTTGTTTCTTACTAATTTCTCTTATTTATCTCAAAGATATTAGATTTACATTTCCCAATGATATTGATTTTGTAAAGGCTCATGGTGAGATATACAGTGAAAATTCTTTATATAACATTTGCTGATTTTAATTTCATCTAGTCTTAATCACATAATTGATATTGCCTACTAACCATTTTTTATAAATGCTGTTTCTCTTTCTGAAATAACATTATTTTAATACATCTTTCCAAAATCATAGATGAAGTGGATGAATTATAGGGAATTCCAATAAAGAATTTAAAGTATACAAAAAGGAATGAAAGCTATTTCATTACTTTTATATGGCTTTACTCCTATCAGTAGATTCCAGCATCCAAAATAGGCCTAATTTATAAACAATCCTCAGAATATGAGGTGTTTAGTTATTCTGCTAAATGTTCTGCATGTTTAAAAATCTTTCTGGGAGGGTAGCTGGGGATGTGGCTTAGTGGTAGAGTGCCTGCCTAGCATGCAAGAAGCCCACGGTTCCTCAGTACCACATAAACAGAAAAGGCCGGAAGTGATGCTGTGGCTTAAGTGGTAGTGAACTAGCCTTGAGCACTGAGAGGCTCAGGGACAGTGCCCAGGCCCTAAGTTCAAGCCCCAGGACTGGCAAAAAAATCTTTTTCTAAAGTGTACCAGTAAGCATACTAACAAATATAATACTGATATTAATATGACTTTCATGGTTAAGTGTATTTTGGTTATTTTTAGAGTTTTGAGTCAGGGTCTTACCCTGGACTGGCCAGCCCAGGCTGGCCCAGAACTTGAGATACTCCTGTCTCCACCCAAATTATAGAAGTGCACTGTCATCCTTGGTTTATTATTAAGATTTTTAACAATTATTATTTTTAAAAATGACTATTTCAAGTAACAAATATCAATGGAAAGTATAAAGGAACAGCAACAATTTGGGTGAAAACTAATTCTTAGAATACACTAAAGTTATTTTACTGAAGATTATTGCTATCATTTTTGAATTCTTCTAACTAATCTCCTTATAAGATAAAGGGCTAAAAAATAATGGCATATGTAAGTCACATTATGAAGTAGATTTGGACTAACACAGGCACTAATAAAAAAAATTTTAATAAATAAAAATAAATTTAAAATGTTTTTAAAATGAAAGCATCATCTAACCACCCATAATCCAGATTACTATCAGTAATTTTTAGATATTTTGGCCTTGATTTTGCTTTAATTTTTCAATATATCTTAAACTCTACTGCTGAGATCTGTCAATATTCAATTAACTGATCAAAAATCCATCCCAAAGCTAAATTTACCTTTTTTTTCTAGATTCTATATAACTACTATAATTAACAAAATTAACTGAAAAGAATTTCATTTCTTTTGGTTAGTTTTCTTACCTATACAATAAATTTATTGAACTAAAATATTAATAGTTTTAAATTTTTATTATTTTAACTATTTATGGGCATGTTAATAAAAACAGAAATAAGTAAGTCTTCTGAGTAAAAGAGTTAGCATTGAGCTGCTAGCATTTATAGCTTCCAATTACAGCAATGTTATTTAAAATTAAAATTGCTGGGGATGTAGTGTTTGCCTGACATGTTTAAGGTCTTGAATTTGATCACTGGTACTAGAAAAAAATTAATAAAATAAAAACTGGAGTACTGATCTAGAACTACTTGAGTCATAACAGCCTCAACAGTTCCAAGGACCATGATACAAAATAAATGCAATTCATTCTTAGAAAAGAAGTTGTATGTTATATAATATTCAAAGGAGCAGTTTTCATTGGAATATAATATTAAAGTAGTGTTGGATGATTACTGTATTTTAACCTTGTGAATTTTTCGATCTCCTTTCTCGGGTGGATCCTCTATTTCAGAGTATGGGTAAAATCCAGGAAATGGTGTAAGAGGATTAATCTTTGGCCTACAGGAACCTGAGAAAGCGCCCATCAAGCTACTGATACTCCGTAGAGAAGAAATAACTTGTGGGGGAAGGCTTGGGTCAACCAGAAGATCTGACACCATATTTCGCGCCTCATTTAGCACTGATAGATCAATTCCATTTCCACCTCCAGAATTCTAGAAAAGATAAAAGGAAAATTATGTATTGTTACATTAAACACAACACTTTTTACAGAACTTCCTTTAATTTAAAATCAATCTCACAATACATAACTAATTTATCTATTAAATATAATTTCTATTCACTTGACCCTGACATAGATACTCTAACAAACAATATAATTCTAATTTAAAATTGTTGAAATATATTTAGTATATACTGTAAGGATTTTTTTCTTTATTTTTGTTACCTTATCTCCTACTTAATGGTATTTAGGGGACATCTTTATATCTCTCATTACTAAATAGTATCATTCTTGTGTGTGCTTCGCTCTGGATTTCATCTTGTAACATTAACGTTGCTATTCCTGCTATTTGGTTTAAATATGCATTTGCTTGACTGTGCTTGCATTTCACTTTCTTTGCATCATTTTGTGTTAAGCTTTTGTAAGTAATATATAATGTAATGTTTAAAATTAAATCTGGGCTGGGCACCAGTTGCACACACCTGTAATCCTAGCTACTCAGGTGGCTGCAATCTGAAGATCACAATTTCAAGCCAGTGTAGGCAGGAAACTCCATGACACTCTTACCTCCAAATAAGCACTGATAAAGCCAGCAAAAAAAAAAAAAACTCAGGGACAGCACTCAAATCCTGAGTTTAAGCCCCAGGACTGGCACACACACACACACAAAGAAATGAACCCAACATTCTGTGCTAATTTCTTCCCCTCATAGAATTTTAGTTCATCACTTGTAGCCAAGTTTGTTACACAGGGCAAAGAGAACGGAACAATTTCAGAGTCTGGGAAACAGTGAAGCTCCCCATAGTCTCAAAGGGCTGGGACAACAAATTGGAAGCTCAAGTCTACTAAGAAGATATGAGAGTTTAAAAGTCAGCAGAGATGGAAAGTAAAACAACAAAATATCTATAATGTAACATACAAGAAAATCTTCTTGAGGGCAGAGATTTTTAAATAAAATACAAAAAGAGCCAAGGCATGGTGATATATACCTAATGTTCCAGCTACCTGAAGGCTGATAGAGGAAAAATAACAAGAGACCACTGCTCTTAAAAAACAAAAACCTAGGAGTGGTGGCTCACGAGGCTGAGATTGGGAGTATAATAATTCAAAGCCATCCCAAACCAAAGTTTCCAAGAACCTATCTCAGCCAATGAGAAGCTGGACATAGAGGAACATGCCTGCCATCCCAGCTATGAAGGAAGTATAAATAGGAAGAGTACAATCCAGGCCAGCCAGGGCAAAAAACAAGACATTCAAAAAATAGCTCAAGTGGTAAGAGTGCCTGCTTCACGCGGGCAAGGCTCTGAGATCAAACATTGGTACCACCAAAAAGAGGTGGAGGATATAAATTTTATTTTTTTTTGTTTTTGTTCGGTCGTGGGCCTGAACTCTGGGCCTGAGCACTGTCCCTTAGCTCTTCAGCTCAAGGCAAGCGCTCTACCACTTGAGCCATAGCTCCACTTCTGGCTTTTTCTGTTTATGTGGTGCTGAAGAATCCAACCCAGGGCCTCATGCATGCAAGGCAAGCACTCTACCACTGAGCTACCCTCCCAGCCCCGAAGATATAAATTTTAAAAACAAACTAATAAAAAGGAGATGATTGATGAATTGGCTATGCAATATTTTCATCAAAAGAAAACCCACATTAATTAACAGGCTGAGGTAAAAGTTCTCACTAGAGATTATATACATTCATAATATACATATATATGTGTCACATATATATGAATACCTAAACATACATAAATGTCCGGAATACATATACAACTCCTAGTTATTACAAAATAAAAAATAAAGAGGGACAAAAAGACTTGACCAGGGATATCTGGTTAGCCAATTCACGTATGAAAAAAAACTTAAACCTATGAGTCATCAGCAAAATGCAAATTTTCAAGCTATAAGATAGCTAACAGCTACCAGAATTATTTAAAAGAGATACTACCAAGTATTGGTGAAGATGTAGAGCAGCTAAATATTGGATAAAGATGAATACAAACTCTGGAAATTATCTGGCATTGACTATCAAAAGTGAATGTATGCATGTATATGGTAACAATCCATACCAAGATATATACCTAACAAAAGGTCATCCTAGCAGTATTACCAGAAATCAAACAAATATTTATCTACCTGTGCAATGGTTAAATACATGGTGGTATTCTCATTTAATGAAATATTAAATAGAATGAAGATTGAATAGATTAGTGCTATGTAATATTAATCTCACAGGGTTTTGTTTTGTTTTTGGTGACAGTTCTGGGGCTTGAATTCAGGGCCTACATTCTGTCCCTGAGCTCTTTTTTTGCCCAAGGCTAGCACTCTACCATTGAGAACCACAGCTCTACTTCCAGCTTTTTGTTAGTTAATTGGAGATAAGAGTTTGCAGAGTTTCCTGTCTAGTCTGGCTTCAAACCATGATCCTTGGATCTCAGCCTCCTCAGCATCTAGGATTACAGGCTTGAGGCACCAGAGCCTGGCTCTCATCAACAGTTTTTTAAAAGAAGCACAAGAGAAAATACATTAACTCATTATCTTGCCCATGTAATTGTAACCCCTCTGTATGATATTTTCACAATAAAAAATTTTTTTAAAAGAGAAAATACATTAAATTCCTTCTATTTATATAAAGTCCAAAGACAGTATAACTAAATTGATACTTCAAAGTTAAGATAAATTCAATGCATGTTCTACAAAATTAAGAAAATTGAGATGAGGAGAATTGGAAGGGATGGAGGAAAATCGTTAAGGTGGTGACATCATTCAAGATGCATTATATTCATAAACTGCTCTGTTGAATAACAATTCTTTTGTACAACTATTTAAGATTTAATATATAATCATATATCTACATCTACATATATGTAAACAAGATTGATTATAACCCTTAAAACAAAGAAGGGAAGTTGATAATGACCTGAAGGAGAGCATAAGAAGGTTTTACAGGTGCTGATTTTTTTTTTTTTGGTCGGTCTTGGTACCTGAACTCAGTCTAGGCACTGTCCCTCAGCTCTTCAGCTCAAGGCTAGTGCTCTACCATTGAGCCACAGCTCCACTTCTGGCTTTTTCTGCTTATGTGGTGCTGAGGAATCGAACCCAGGGCCTCATGCATGCAAGGCAAGCATTCTACCACTGAGCCACCTTCCCAGTCCCTGATTCAGTCTGAGAAAATTCATTGAACTGTACATTTATATACTTTTACAGACAATTGTTACACTTCATTTTTTAAGTCCAAAGTAGAAAAAGAAAGAGAAAAAAACTAAAAAGGATAGAGATGCCTACAATAATTCACCAGTGTGACTGACAAGTCCACAGTTTTAGCCATAATATTTACTTTTAGATTTTGCCAATAGCTTAGATACTCTAACAGGAAATAGGAATCTGAAAATCTTTGTGAATATGAATGATAATGAAGCCCACTATGAAATAAGCTCAAAGAACCACATCCTTTTAGTCATTTATGGCTTTCTCCTTAATTTTATTGGACTGCAATGGTTATATTATTTTGCCGATCAAAGCCCAACAATATTTTATTCTTATGGGTTATTTTACCTATTGCATAGAAAATTTTAAAATAAGTCATTAAAATATGTAAAGTAAGCTGAGCCTACTGATGGCTCATGCCTATAATACTAGCTACCTGGGATGCTGATACTAGGAAGATGGTTTAAGCTATTTAAAAAAAATAAAAACAAGAGTAGAAGAATGGCTCAGTGGTAAGAGCACCTGACTAGAAAGTGTTGAGTCTTCTACTTCTAACTCCAATACCACTAAAAAGCAAAAAATTGAAAGTCAGTCATTAACAGGGATATTCATTTTTTAAAACTTCGTGTGAAGACAACTAGAGAAATAATTCAATAACATTTATACAATATTAGTGAATGTATATTTACAAATGTTATCCATTATTGTGAAAAACATCATTTCAAAACAGCATATAGAAACATTATGCAATTTTGTAGAAAAGAATACAAAAACACATTTATACTGGGAATATATCTATAAAGCAAAACATTTAATCCAGTTAAGAACATCATCCTTATTGAATAGAAAACATTCACCAGTGATTTTTTTTTGATACTTCTAATTCATTTAATCTGATATTGATATGTATTTCCTAAGTGGTCAAACAAATCATCTTAAAATATGTACTATGTTATTTGATATGTATACTAAATAAGCAAAAATAATCACTTTAAATCAGGATAGAGGTTATGTCTGTGAATATAGGCTATAACTGAATTAAAGCATGTGAGGTCACTAGTAAAATTCTCTTTCTTCCTATACATAGAAGATACTTAAGATTTTAACTTGTGAAAATTCACTGAAAAGTAGTCTTATCTTTAATATAAAACTTTCAGTTTGTTCTGAGCCCAGATTGTAATTAGCAACACTTCAAAAATAAATTTGTAAGTTTATTTCTCTTAACACTTACAAATGTTCTTTTTTTTTAATATAGCTCAGTTAAAGGTTCTTGTAAACTTAGTTTAGCTAAAGAAAATTTTCTGACAAGGAAATCTTATGAATTTAACTTTAGTTTGAGATCAAAAGTTTCATTACAGATATTAATTAATAACACTGCTATTTCATTTATATTTACCTGGTAATGAGGTTTATGCCACTGCTTTAAGTCCCAATCCCATAGGATCATCTGAAAAAAAAATCACTTGGTTATAAACCATAAATAAATAAGCATATGTTAAGACAAATCATAGCCTCTTCAAGTATAGATGCCTAAAATAGCTTAAATGTGGGAAGGGAATTGGGAAGGTTAAAATAAAAATAATCTCTTGACAGCATATTTCATTATTTCAGACATATTGTCCTTTTGAGAAATCAAAAAGATAAAAAGGATATATTATTTTCAGAATAAAGTCACTAAAATAAGCTACAATAATCTTTAATATTAATTAATACAAAAAGGAAAACATAAACCCAAAATCACAACTAGTTACTAAAAGTCTAAGAAAAACTAAATATTACCAGACATGCTTCTTCCCTGTCCCCGTGCTCTTCAAAGGCTCATCATTCATCAACTTAAAACTAGTGTCAATGGGTGGAGCTATTTCCTCACCAATAAAGCACTTCTGTGAAAGGTACTTAAAAAAGCTTGTTGTCCTTGGGTTAGATCACACATAAATAGATTTATTTTTTTTAAATCAGAAAAACAAAAATACAGAGATACCCCTTTGAATAGGCAGATCATTTGTAAGTATTTGCCTGCCTGTTCAGTTTATAGGATATCAATGGTAACTTCTTAGCCTTAGACAAGTTGGTTTTTTTCCCCCTCCCTTCTTCCTAGCAAGCTTTCTGGTTACTTCCTTATCCAATATAGTAGTTGCTATGCTCTAAGAAGTAAAATTAACTTTGGCAAGCTTTCATTACCATGATCATGAATCCTATATTTCTTTCAATTATATTGAATTCATGATTAGATTTTCTACTATCTTCATCCAGTATATACATTTCTACATTCTGCATTATTTGTTGTTTCTTGTCCTTGGTCTTAAATCTTCTGGTTGCAAAAAAGTATTGTCTATTCAGTCACTTTTCTAATATCACAAGTTGACAAAACTATTTCTGAAAAGGGACAAAGTATTTTAGGTGTTGAAAGCCACATAAAGTATCTATAACATACTGTTTGTCTCTTTTTTTCCTTTTACAACCTTTTAAAGTGTAAAAAAATAAAATAAAATAAAAATCAAACAAAAACACCTTAGCTCAAGGGTCATGCAAAAAAAAGCTACTGGCAAGATTTTGTCAATGGGCTCACTTTCTGAATCCTATTTTAGTTAATAAACTCACCTTAATCCTTTCAAAAATTTATCAATGGTTATTATTACCATCTCCTTATCAACACTCTGTACAAAGCAATCTCTTTCTTTCCAGTTCAAGGAAACTTATTTCTTCTTAAATAAAATCCATACATAATACACCCACTTAGGAAATTCATGAGTCAGTGCCAAAAATGGATATGGTATACTTACCTATAAATATATCATTTATTTTAGTAGACTCACTACATTATATTTAAATGGATATGGTATACTTACCAATAAATATTCATATATTTTAGCAGACTCACTACATTATATTTACACAGTATTTTATATGTCCCTAAGGGTACCTAATATAATTATTCTAGGTTGTGAATTAACCAGCATGCATGCTACATTGTAGAGACACTAATTAATGTATTTTAACATCTTAACAGTGGCTCCCCCCAAAGAAAAGATTAACAACCAGTGAGGCCCTTATGGCTCATGCCTGTAATCCTAACTACTTGGAAGAAGAAAATCAGGAGAATTATGGTTCGAGGAAAACAGAGTAAGAAAAGTTTTCAAGGCTCCATCTCAACCTAAAGGTAAATGTGTGATGCTTGTCATTCCAAACATGCATGAGACTGAGATTAGGACAATTTCAGGTGCCTGGCATCCCTACTACAGCGAGAAATGTAAAATACAAGGATCATGATCCAAGCAAAATGAGACAAACCCTATCCCCAAAACTAATTAGGCCAAAAAGAACTGGAGGCATGATTCAAGCAGTACAGTGCCCACCTAGGAATTGCAAAGGCCTAAGTGAAAATGCCAGTATTATTTTTTTAATATATTAACCAAAAATTCTTGACTCTGTTATCCTTGACATTGTAATAGTTCAGATTTTTCCATGATGTTCATGTACAACTGGCTTTTTAGATCAACTTGTTTGCTTTTTTAACCTATCAAAGTTTCTTTGGAGATTGGGGATGTTAATCTCCATACCTCTTATCATACCATTTGTAAATTTGTTATTTTTTTCAAGTTCACCAATGAAAGTCCAGAACAGAAAAAATAAAACTGAAACACATGATATAGTACTGCAAGTTACCTAACTAGCATCAATTCACTTATATTCTGAATCTATAAATTTGCGTAACTGTATAATCATCACAGTATAACAAGTATGATCCACACTGTATTTGTTCAACAAGATTCTAGTAACCAGAGATAAATGACCTACTCATTTTCCTGATTTGTTAGCCTGAATAAAATTTTTGCTAAGAAAAGCATACTTAGGATAGTTTAACACTCAGCTGCCTTCTTTCCTCCCAACTTCATTGACCCATAAATGATTTTAAAAACATGACCCTTCAAACTTTTAGCATTCTTACAGCCAAGATGCATATTTGTATTCACATCTAGTAATCTTAATTGAGGGGGTAGGAGTCAATCCCAAGCACGTGAAATGTTGTTCTTAGGGCCAAAACTCTTAAAATAATTTTAGTCTTCCAAAGGCCATAATAAACAGATTTAACATACATAGAGATGCCACACACATGTGGTTTCCTAATGCATTTAGACAAGTCCAAGCTGCCTACTCTGAAACTGCTGCCAACAGAAATAGTGTACACTCCATTTTAATTGTATTCTTAGAGGTCTATAAAACCTTACAAAGTGTAATGCATTTTCTGTCTGCTACCTCTTTTTAGTTCCTTTCTTTTGTAGTATTTTCTACTATAGACAATTTCACTTAATAAACTGTCCTCCTGCTAGATTAGCTTGGAATCAACACTTCTGCAGGAACTTACTCTTTTCTTTTAGAGCTGGGAAGGTGGCTCAGTGGTAAAGTGCTTGCCTTGCTTGCATGAGGCCCTGAGTTCGATTCCTCAGCACCACATAAACAGAAAAAGCCGGTAGTGGCACTGTGGCTAAAGTGGTAGAGTGCAAGCCTTGAGCTGAAATGCTGAGGGACAGTGCCCAGGCCCAGAGTTCAGGCCCACGACCAACAAAAACCAACAAAAAAACTCTTATTTTCTTTTGTTGTCTCTAGGATATAAATTATAGTCTCAAAAAGCTGTTAAGTCTTAGGCTGAAATACTCTTCATATTACAACCTAAAAAATGATACAGTGAAAGTCATAGTTGGCAGACTGCCTTCTGTGTAATCTGAATAACTAGAATATGTAGGAACTTCAAGAAAACAAAATTTTCTGTATAATTAGCAGAAGATGAATGACCCAGGAACTCCAGAGTTAGGCATATATCTTAGAGCAGTGTTATTCAAAGTGTGACTCATAAAATGTCAAATACAGAAATTAAGAGTACAAGTTATATCACATATCACCGAGATGGCTGCCAAAAGATATTTGCTGAAATTTCCTTTACAAAAATAAACAGAGTTAAGAAAGTAAAACAAACTCCTCTTCCCCTAAATTGTTTGAATATATGTGTCTTGTATTGTATATGGGTATTGTAGATGGGTACTGTAAAAACTGTGCAGAGCACAGACTCAAGATGATTTTATATAGAAGGTAATAAAGTGCATAGCATCTACTAGCCCTGCACCAGCTAAGATCAGGCTAAACTATAAATATCTTCACACTGTGGGAAAAACAAAGCCCCAAAAGAACTAATAATGCCATAGTCGTTTGAAGTATTTGCTGTTAGGGAAGCCTAAATTCACTTTGAGGAGCTGTTGAAGAATCTTTGCAAACAATTGCATTATCCTGAGTAAAAATACCATCTTGAGACCTCACCCATCTAGGATCTGGAAAAGCCCAATGGGCAGCCACCCAAACAGGTCAACCAGTCCTGTGAACTTGCTCGGAGCCCCTACACACATCCGAGGAGGAAGCGGCTGCTTAGTAGTCCCATCCACTACTTTCACTACTCTGACACAATATAGTATTATATGACTTACCCAGAGCAATAAAGCAAGGAAAAGTAGTGAAGATGCTCCAAATAGGAAAGCAGGAAGTCAAGTTTATCCCTATTAGCAAAAAGTGATTAAATATTTAAACATATATGCATATATGGAATCCACATATATATAAATTTAAAAATTGTTGGTACCAATAAATAAATTCAGTAAATTTGTAAAAACATAAAAATCAGTAACATTTTATCACCAATAATGAAACTGATGAGAAATCAAGAAAGTAATAACATTCATAATAGCTACAATAATTCAAGTATGTAGCAATAAATTTAGGTGGTTAATTTCTAGAATAGAAATTATAAAACATTGTTAAAAGAAATTGGAGATACAAAAAAAATGAAAATGTATCCTATGTTCACAGATTGAAAGAATATTGTTCAAATACTTATAATTACCCCAAAGTAATTTATAGATGCAATGCAGTCTCCTCCACCAATGACATTCTTTAGAAAGAGAAAAAAAATCCTAAAATTTGTTTGGTGCTAAAATAGCCCTGAAGAGTGAATGATATCTATTTTTTTCTTTTGTATTAGGGTTTGAACTTAGAGTCTTGTCCTTGTTAGTCGAGCACTCTATGACTTAAGCCCCTTTTACTTTTGATAGTTTTCAAACAGGTCTCCCTTATTCTCACGACACTACACCTAACTTTAAAGATGTCTTAAGGAAAACAACAAGCTGGAAACACCATGATACCATATGTATATATACACACATACACACACAAACTAAAAACTCTTTTCACACACATACAAATCTGTTGGTATCAGACTTCAAAACAATTGCTATACTATAACAACATGTTAAAAGCATGAAAAACAACACACAAACTAATAGATAAAATAGTAAACCCAGAAATGTAACCAGAAATGTAATCCACAGCCAACTAATCTCCAACAAAGTATGAAAAACATAAAAGAGAATGGGTAGGATTTTTTTATTTCAATAAATGGTA